TGGACAGTTTGGTAGTTGCCATGGACAGCCGGCTCCAGCATACTCAGTGCCTGCCGGATATATACTCAGATCTGCACTACATCACTCCAGCAATTAGTTCTCAGTCCCAACAGCAAGGTGACAGTTTGATGAGGGATTTTGACCTCACTCCAGGTCACCCTTCTTCTCGAGGAGTTGTCCTCCTTCACAATTGTTATCCTCTCCGAATCTCAGTAAGCTGCAAGTAATCCCCACAGCTGAGCTCCCCAGCTTCCCTCCCACAGCAACACCTTTGATAAACCTCTGCCGACATTTAGTTTTGGACACCAGGACTGCCTGTAGCCCATTTCCTTGACTAATTTGGACGGACAGCTCCAATTGATGGGTGTCCAGACCCTGACTGATTTCTATGCAGATTCCCAGTTAATGTATGTGACTCACCAGACTGATGGCACTGCCCCTACAGTGCTGACCAAGGCCTACGCCATGCACTGTAGAGTTTCAGACCCCTGACTTTGGACAGCCTAAACAGCTGACTGACTTGTGCTCAAGCCCCTGGACTGATAGCAAGGCTACCCTTAACTTACTGTACTGAGACCCCCCTGACTGACAGATGTCTCCCTTCACTAGACTGAGGACTACTCAGAATCATAGAAATATTGCAGAGCAGATAGAGGCCATTTGGCAAATTGCTTTTCTCTTGCAAATTACTTTAAATCTGTGCCTTCACGTTCTTGTTCCTTTTACAAGTGGAACATTTTCTCCCTATCTACTCTATCCAGCCCACTTATGATTTTATAAACTCTGCTCTTAGTCTTTGTCTTTCCAAGGAGAATAATCCCAACCTCTCCAACCTATCCTCATAACGGAATTTTCTCATCCCTGGAACCACTCTTGTAAATCTCTTCTGAACACTCTGCATTGTGGGAGCAAGGCTTTACCCTGAAGTGTGTGTGAGTCATTAATTTTTAGAGTAGACGTCAATGCTCATGAACAGTGGATAAGGTTTGAGGAACTGTCAAGTTGTTTGAACAGAACAAGAACTGCAGATGCTGGAGTCAGAGTCAATGCAGTGTGGAGCTGGAGGAACACAACAGGTCAGGCAGCATCAGACGAGCAGGAAAGTCAATGTTTCAGGTTTACATCCTTCACCAATCCTGAAACACTGACTTTCCTGCTCCTCCGATGCTGCCTGACCTGCTGTGTTCTTCCAGCTCCACACTGCATTGACAAAGTTGTTTGAATAGCCTGCCCTTCAAAAATTAAAGAATATACACACAGCTTGCCTGTACCACAATTGAAAAAGTCTATTCTGACCATTTCAAGCAGTGTTTGTTGGCTACCTTTGATGCATGGTGGCTCAGTGGTTAGCACTGCTGCCTCAGAGCACTAGGGACCTGGATTCAATTCCAGCTCTGTGTAACTGTCTGTGTGGACTTTGCAATTTCTCTTTGTGTCTGCATGGGTTTCCTCTGGGTGTTCCACTTTCTTCCCACAGTCCAGAGATGTGCAGGTCTGGCAGACTCGCCATGCTAAATTGCCCATAGTGTCCAAGGATGTGCAGGTCAGGTGGGATTGCCATGGGAAATACAAGGTTATGGAGGGGTTCTGAGGGGCACTCTCTTCAGAGACTCAATGGACTGAATGGCCTGTTTCCACAATGTAGGGATTCTATGAAGGGTAAAAGTATGAATGTTTGTTTTTCATATAGATTATGTACTTGAGTAGATTTAAATATATTGTGGAGGCTTTTATGAATGAGAGCATTTTCGACAGTGAAGTCTAAAACAAATATTTAGAACTTTATTTAACTTTGGAATGGCATCCTGAAGCTTGCCCATGGAAGATGAGTTGATATGGAAGTTGGAAGGGCAAAGGAGGAATGAGTTCACAAGATTATCACTAATTTGGCATGTGCTGTAAGGGACTTTGGTTCTGGGGAAGAGGTGGGGAGTGGTTGGTTATGAATTGGCATAGATTTGCATATATGCACGTTGACTGGGTGGAGGGAGGATGACAGGGGGGAGACCTTGAGGGTCTAATGTTTAAAAATCAGCTGTGTCAACGAACCAAGTTGGAAATTTTGACCCAGCTGATTTTTAAAGTGGCACTGTTTTGGCACTTAGGAACCCCTGAAGCTGCCTCCTATCTATATCTTGGGTCTGGCATCTTCATCCTGATCTACATAGCCACCCAACCCCTTCAGAACAAACACTTTGGTGCACTTTTCCCAAGAAAGATTTCCCAGCTCTGCACTCCCAACTTAGGAGTGAAAATCCAGACCCCAGAGGACTACTCATCCTTGCAATTCAGAAAGGCAGTACAATAATAGCCATAGGCTCGTAAAATTATTGCTTATATATTTGGCTAGTGTGTTAACTAGATTTCAGGCAGTAGTAAATACTACAAAATCATCCCCAGAAGGGCTAACATTGCTTAGAGCCCTGCAACTAGCTGACTTGACTCATTATGACACATTTTCTCATTTCACATCACTGTACCAGTCCTGTTAACCAGAAAACCTACCCTTTGAAATATTGCTTCAGATATTCCGTCCATCCAATAATCATTGGAGAAGCGTGGATTTTAGTTAAGCATTGGGATCAGGCAGAATCTTCTGATGAAACTGACTCTGTGGGAATTGCCTAATAAATTGAAACTTAAGTTGGTTAATTCCCCTGCATCTGTAATCCTCCATAAAAACCTCTTTTAGTCTGAGACCTCCAAGGTTGCTCACTCACTTAAGATTAATTGTTATTCAGAATAAGTGAGAGGGTTAAAACGTTACTCTAACTCTTAGGTAACGATTAAACTGAACTCTGAATTGCCACTGAACCACAAATATACACTTCCTGACCCCTGACACCCACATAGTCAAAACCAACCCTCACCCTGACTTGGTGCGACCCAATTCCCACTCACCAACCCTTGACCCAAACCACCCTTGCCCAACCCAACAGGTGAACCCTCCCCCCATGACCTAAACTGACGGCATCCAACAACAAAACCTCCTCCCACCAGCAGGACAGGTGCACCCCCAGATCCTAAACAGACCACACCAGAGCATTTATATCCCTCCACCAGCCTCAATGCCACACCCCCAGCCTTACCACCCCGTCACGCACATGGAATCGTGGCAACTTCACCCACAGGACACCCTTTCCATCTCACCCACCTAACAGACAATTCCCTTGCCTACCAACCTGCCACCCTGTCCCTTGCTTAGCATGCATGCTCAGCTCTCCTCAGATACCGTCAAATAGCTTTTGGGATCTTGAACTGCTGAAGCATGGCAACAAGTTAAAAAGCTGTGTCCTTAGTTGTAGTGCCGCTCCTGTGCTAAGTGGATTTCAGGCTGCTTTCCTCTGATTGATCTACTCTGGTCAGTTCAGACTCAGAATGTTAGTCTCAAAAGTTGCCCATAGGTAAGTGGGTAACTTTAAAGAGGATTACCATTGGCCAAACAATTCTAAAAGTAACGGGAGAACATAGGAATGTTATAACTGTTTCCATTCCAAAGGGTATAGGGCCATAACATTGAGTAGTTCCCATACAGACAACGTTCTAAAACTGCTGTGAGTGTCATACTTTGAATTATGGACTGCAGCTTGTTGTGACTTGTTTATTCATGCAAGTTGACACTTGAGCAGACATGGTTGCTTAAAATACTTTGGGGAGTGAGTTTGTACAAAACTTTGCATTGCATTTGAAATGATTTGCAAATTTCAACTGTTCTTAATAACTTTAATCAAAGAAACTAAGCTCTAAATAAATCAAATTGTGAAATGATAACACCATAGCATTAAAACAAGCATTCCTACTCAAAAAAGTGAACCTTTCATTTTACTCCATGCTTAAACAAACATACATTTCTGCAAGTTTCTTTGATAATCTGAGCGTTATCCATTAACTTGCTTATTTTTCCAACCATTGCAAAAGATGGTTACAATTTGACATGGATGGTACATTATAGTTTATTTTTGTTTCTACAAATTACACAAGAAGTTCCCCTTAGAAACAAAGACATCAAAATTATAAGCAATTCAACTTGGATCTGAAATCTTTCTCTTAAACAGTCCACTGTTTCTTGATTTTAAGTTTTGGAACTAGTGGATAATGTCTATTTGTCAAAATGCTATGCTGACAGGTCCTCGGAATCAATCTGTTTTTTCCTTCTTCCTGGGCCGACTCATTTATCAGTTATTTTCCAATTTATACCTCGTTTTATTCTCTTCAGGATTTTCAAAGTCTCATGGTGATTTTTTAAATTTCTCTCATTTATGTCTTCAAATGTATTATTAATACCACTCCAACCATCTTTCTCTTCATTGACTACTTTATAAATTAATTTATTTAGTTGTGTTTATTGTTGATTGTGAAATGTGAAACATTGTGAAAGTTGTAAAACACTGCCTGTTCCTCCCACAAATGTTTAATGATTTGCTGACCCCTTTCAGCAGTTTCACAGCATTGCTTGATGGGGCGGGGAATGAGCTATGTTGTGGAGATATTTGGGGGCAGGAATGATGGTAGGGAACTGCTAGATAATTAATTATTTTCAATCATTAACAAACATGTCACAGAAAGCTCTGTTCAACATCAATCGCTTCCCACACTGTTGAGTTGATGGACAGTGGACAGACCAGGAAACACGATGCAACAGCTGAAGAAAATTAATGACTGGGAAAGCTACCTCAGCACAAACAACACATTGATCTGAGAATGAAGCACCCAACATTAACCGTATCTTAGCCATGTCTCTAGGAGACAGTGACGCAATTGGAAATTTGCATTGTAATAGCTCTTTTTGCGAAAAATAACTACTTCAGTTGAACAGGATTTACAGCTAAACATCTACAAACTAAGGATTGATTTCCTGCTGTTAGTTTTGATTTGTTTAAGAGTGAAATAAGAATGAACATTCTAAATGTGAATGTTTAATAAAGGCATTTTACATTTAACATCTCTTTTACATAAAACATGCGTGTGCAAGTAGCACAGAGAAATTGTAACTCACTGACCTGTTCGAAATCCACTTCTGTGATATTTTCTGACTGAGTACAAGTTTCGGTTGCAAGCAGCCAGCAATTGGTGCAGAAAGTCAACAGAGAAAAAATAACCCCCAGAGTACCAAGTAACCTGGCAATAACTATAACTTTTGATGTTGAGGTTTTCATGGCTTTCTGAAGAGTTGAAGTAAACAAGTGAGAGTTTCCACTCAGTGTTTGCTCTTGGTGCGAACGAAAGTAACTGGATGGATCTTTGCCTAGCCCTGCCTATTTTTAGATCAATAATGATAGTCTGGAGATTGTTGACCTACATGGGGATTTTGGTGTTCAGCCTATTAATAATTATATCTCTAAAGTGCTGAGTTTATGTTTGACAACTTTAAAGGTTATTTCTGCTTTGGCAAGACTAGGAGGAAAAGCCATGCATCAACGTTGTGCATGAACTCGCTGACATTTAGAAATAGTGGAAATTGGGATTATTATTGACATCTTCTTCGACTAATCCGATTCCACTTTCCTACATTGAGATAGATGTTCAATTCCATCTATCCGACCTTTTCTCACCCTTCTCATAGATAAACATCCTTGTTTGCAGCTGGAATTCTCTTGATGTTGATAGGCCCTATAAACTCTGCACACGGCTTAAAAACCTGAGACTTCTTATTATCCCCTGTTTTAAATGTAGAAACTCCGATCAAGAAATTTTCTAATGCCCGGATCCCGTCACAATATTCTAAGTAGGTTGATCTTGGAAAATGCATTGAGCTTAACATTATCTTGCATTTAACTAGGTCACCTGGTGAAAATCCAGGGTCTAAACTCCATAAGTCCAGGGTGAAATTAGTTAACTGTTAAGCGAGGCATGGGCTGAAAAGAGAATAAGCATAGACCTGTGAAGGTCAGTTCATGTTTGACTAACGGATTTGAATTTCTAGAGGAATTAGAGCATATCTTTCAATGGAAGTGGGGTGAATATACTCATAATAAGACTCTCATAAATTGGTATTAGCCACAAGGAGAGAAAGAGATGGCTGACAACAGAAACAAGGCAGGATTTTGTATTTTTTCCATGTCCTGACTTCCCCAAAGAGGAAGTATAACTTTTCCCATGATGGCCATCTAATTGATTTGAGAGTGGTTTCCTCAAATAATTAGCAGTGTAAAACACAGGAGGAAGGATCTATAAAGGTAGGACCTGACTTTAAGATATGACAGCAATAATTTTGCACTGTTACAGAAGCCTAAGCTCAACGATGGTAGAGACAGAAACTACGACAGGACTATCCCATGGTTTTCGAATGTGACCCTGGTGATTCTGCTGAAGACTGTAAGAAAATAGCAAATCTTGTTTCCAGAGGATGTGTCAGTGGAAGGCACCCTGCGAGATTAAATAAATTTAGCTGAAGTCTTACAATAAGCCAGCAGCAAAAACACTGCTTAGAGGGTCTAGGCACAATGGCCTTTTTTGCTCTGAAATCTTCCTATGCAAATAGTCCTCTGGTATGGGTCAGAGGAGTCAACAGTGTCTTACCCTTTGTCCCTCTTCTATCCTTGGAGAAGAAGAAAGCATATAACCCTCAGGAAGAGGCTTGCATAGGAGTAGGAGTGCCCAAACTGATCACCCTGTAGCCATGGAGGAAATGTCAATACAAATCACTAGGGTGGCCTCACATGATGAAGTGGGTGATGGAGACATGAGAATCCTCACAGGAAGGTGTGAACAGATATTGAATTTTATAGGGGAAACGGTGGGAGAATTCTCCACATTTGGCAGCATATTTAACTCTCAGATGCATCGGAAAACCTTCACTCTGGAGAAGCATCTGCTGCCAAACACATGTTCTGCAGGGTTAGTCATGGAGAGAGACAGTGCAAATGCATTGACAGGGCCTCTTAAGAAACCAGACCAGCGGAGCCAACATTTGAACTGATGGAAAATTACTCAGCTTCGTGTGAATCATATTTACAGGAATGATAGAGATCAGTGGCTCACTTGAGAAATCTAGACTTGGTACTCTACATTTCATTAGTTTTATTATATTCTGTATAGTAGTCTCATAGGAAATAAGGAATCATGGGTGAGAGGTGACTTATATCTGATATGAAGTTGCTTTTTTATTATTTTTTCAAACCCTCCCAAATATATTGTATCTTAATATATGTCAGTCTTTCTGCCCTATTCTTGTTTCACACCAGTTAGGTTTTGACTCATGAATTACATAAGAAATAATGGGTCACCCTAAAACTGAAGTTAAATAAAGTTATTTATTAAAGTGGAGAGAAACAACATTAGGGATTTAAATGGCAATAGAATGCCTTTCTTAGACTACCTGGTACTAAAATCCCTTTATTTTCACTCTACTGTTCACAATAAGTAAGCTTAAGCAATACAAAGTCCAAATATGTTTAATCCTGAGAAGTGTAAGTTGATGCACTTTGGAAGAAGTAATAAGACAGGCAAGTATTCTATGAATGGCAGGACACTAGAATGCTCACAGAAACAGAGGAATCTGGGGGTGCTTTGTCCACAGACCCCTGAAGGCAGCAGGACAGATTAATGGTGTAGTTAAGAAGGCATACTTGACACTTCTCTTCTTCAGTTGTGGTATAGGTTATAAAAGGAGGAAGATTATGTTGGAGCTGTATAAAAAGCAGCTGCTCCCCTTAGTTGAAGATTTAATTTTTAGAAAGGGCATAGTTTTAAATGAAAGGCAGTTTTGAGGAAAACCAGTTATACCCAGAGGGTGATGGGTATCTGGAATGCATGGCCTGGGAGGTTAGTTGAGGTGAGAAACTTCACAGCCATTTAAAAAGTACTTGAGCACTTGAAATATCATAACATTCAAGGCAATGGGCCAAATGCTGGAAAGTCAGACAATTGTAGATTTAGAGTAGCTTAATGAATGCAAACTTGATGTGCTAAAGGGCCTACTCTATACTGTATGATTCTATAATTCTATGTTGTAAGTAAATGGTCACACTACATAGAACATAGAACATTACAGCGCAGTACAGGCCCTTTGGCCCTCGATGTTGCGCCGACCTGTGAAACCAATCTGAAGCCCATCTAACCTAAACTATTCCATTATCATCCATATGTTTATCCAATGACCATTTAAATGCCCTTAAAGTTGGCGAGTCTACTACTTTTGCAGGCAGGGCATTCCACGCCCTTACAACTCTCTGAGTAAAGAACCTACCTCTGACATCTGTCCTATATCTATCACCCCTCAATTTAAAGCTATGTCCCCTCGTGCTAGCCACCACCATCCGAGGAAAAAGGCTCCTACTGTCCACCTATCTAATCCTCTGATCATCTTGTATGTCTCTATTAAGTCACCTCTTAACCTTCTTCTCTCTAACGAAAACAGCCTCAAGTGCCTCAGCCTTTCCTCATAAGACCTTCCCCTCCATATCAGGCAACATCCTGGTAAATCTCCTCTGCACCCTTTCCAATGCTTCCACATCCTTCCTATAATGCGGTGACCAGGTGACACTGATAACAATCTGTCTATGTCAGCCTTGAATATACTTAAGGATCTAGTCTCAAACAGCCCTCTGCAGGAAAGAATGCCCCAGATTCACTGACACACCAAAAGATGAAATTCCTCCCAATTTCTTTCATAAATGGGTGAGCCCATACTCTATTATGCGCTACAGTCTCCCACAACGGGGAACAACATTTCTACAACAGCCCTTTCAAGACCCCTAAGAATCTTGCATGCTACAATAAGGAGCCTGTCACTCTTCTAAACTCCAATGAGTGCAGGCCTAACTCAGTGGTCAGCACTACTGCCTCACAGTGCCAGAGACCCAGGTTCAATTCCACCCTTGGGTGACTGTCTGTGTCGAGTCTCCCCATGTCTGCGTGGGTTTCCTCCGTGTGCTCCAGTTTCCTTCCACAGTCTAGAGATGTACAGGTCAGGTGGACTGGCCATGCTAATTTGCTCCATAGTGTCCAGAGATGTGTAGGTTAGGTGTGTTAGCCATGGAAAATGCAGGGTGACAGAGAAAGGGTAGGGGGATGGGTTTGGATGGGATGCTCTTTGGAGGGATGGTGTGACTTGTTGGGCCAAATGGCCTGTTTCCACACTGTAGGGATTCTATGATTCTACTCTAGCTGTCTTCATAAGACAGTCCCTCCGCACCCAGGATTTACCTAATGAACTTTCTCTGAACTACATCCAGTAATAGTATAACTTTCCTCACTTAAGGGGACCAAAACTGTTCATAGTATTCTATGTTGTTTCACTTGTGCATGGTTTAGTTTTAGCAAGACTTCCCCATTTTTATACTCCACTCTCTTTGAAATAAAGGCCAACATTTCATTTGCTTTCCCCATTTCCTGCTGAATATGCATGCTGGGTTTTTGTGATTAATGCACGAGGATTCCTAAATCCCTCTAATGCAGATTTATGTAATCCTTCTCTTCTTCAGTGAAATACAGCTGCTCTATCTTTCCTGCCAAAGGGCATATCCTCACATTTTCCATATTATATTCCATGTATTTTTTTCCCAATCACTTAACCTGTCTATATCCCTCTTTGTGTCATTCTCAACGTTTGTCTTTCTACCTATTTTTGTGTCATCCGCAAACTTAGTGATAGTACTGTCACTTTCCTCATCCAAATCATTGATATATATTGGTAAATAAATTGTCCCAGCAATGACTCCTGTGGCACTCAGTTATTTACAGTTTGCCATTCTCAGGATGCTCCCTTTATCTCAACTCTGTTTTCTGTTAGTTAGCTAATCTTCTCACCCATGCTAATATACTACATCAACACCATGAGCTCTTATCTTATTAAGTAGCTTTATGTGTGATATCTCAACAAATGCCTTCTGAAAATCCAAATATACTAAATCTGCTGGTTCCCCACCATCCATCCTGTGCGTTACCTCTTCAAAGAATTCTGATGAATTTGTCAGGCATGATTCAGCTTCATAAAGCTATGCTGACCCTGATTGATCATATTATGTATTTCCAAATTGTCTGCTCCTACATCCTTTATGAGACTAACATTTTCCTAACTGGCCCATTGTTATCTGCATTTTTTTTTCTCTTTCCCTGTTTGAATAAAGGTATTACATTGGTAGTTTTCCAAACCTCTGGAACCTTACTCAAATAAAAGGATTTTTGGAAGATAACTATCAGCACATACATAATATCAGTGACTACTTCCTCTAATATCATAGCCCCATTAGTTTCCTGAGCACTTTTTCTCTCGTGATAGTTAGTGTATTTATCGTCTCTCCCCATTTTGTCCCAATGTACACTCAAGAAATTTTGAAACATCTACAGTGTAACACTATATCATGGTGATCTAAACCAGTTGACATTGCATCCAACGGTATATATAGAACTCATGAAATGGACAACTCAAGTAGTTGCATTCAGTTTCAATGGCACCATGTATGCCCATATGGATAGTATTGCTATGGGAATCTTGCTTGACCCAGATCTTGCAAATATTGTTGTTGAATTCCATGAGAAATGTGTCTTCAATAAATGACACCCAACCTCCTACATTTTACGTATATCTCACATATGGATGATACCTTTGCTTTACTTGAATCCACAGCCGCATATAAAAATGTTCTTTTATGCCTTAATGAACATCAACCTGTGTTCAAATTCATGTTTGAAATGAAATCGTCAAATGTGCTCCCTTTCCTCAATGTCCTCATTGAGAAATTGGCTGGACATTCTATACTATTGTCTACCACAAAGCCAACTTTGCTGGTCAGTATATGCATTGTGATTCCTATTGTTCCATTTGCAATAAGATTAGCCTCGTTGGCAATCTAATAAATACAGCCAAAGTCATTTGTTCACCATAAAAATTTAATGTTGGAATAAAGCCGTCCTGTCGGATAATGGCTCCTCTGATCTTCTATATTTAATGCAAACTCTTGGAAGGCCCTAAGGCACTCTTGGTCCTGAAAAATGCCCTGTCTACTTCAGATTACAAAAACAGAAATTGCCGCAGAGACTCAGCAGGTCAAGAAGCATCTGTGGGGAGGAAGCAGAATTAATGGTTCGAGTCCAGTGAATCCTTCTTCAGAAGTGCCCTTGAAGTTTCAGCAATTGGTGAAGCTAGCTGTTTCAAGATGCTGCTACAAAGTAGTAAAGCAGACGATGTTTGACACTAACAGTTTATTGCTGTCAATCCAAAAAGACGTTCTATTATAACACAAATAAGTGATGCAATATACAAATTTTCACACCAGTGTGTTGCTTGATATGTAGGTTATGCATCCCAAAAACTGGTTGATTATATCAAATATATAGGAATATAGTTCCATGTTCAGCTAGTGTGTACCTAGCAGGAGAACTTGTATTTGGTAGTGTTCCCATGGATCTGCTTCCCTTGTCTTTCTACGCTGTAATGTTCGCACGTTTGGAAGGAGCTTTTGAACAAACCTTGGTGAATTATTGCAGTACTTTTTTTAGATGGAACACACCACTTTCACTGTGCATCCATGGTGAAGGGAGTGAATGTTGAAGGTTGTGGATAGAATGATAACCAAGTGGGTTGCTTTGTTCTGGATGGTGTCATCATTCTTCAGTGTTATTAGAGCTGCACACATCCAGGCAAGTGGGAAGTATTCCATCACACTCCTGACTTGAAGAGGCACTGGGGAGACTGAAGGTGAATTATTCACAGAATTACTCATTTCTAGCCTCTGGCCTGTTCTTACAAATACAATATTTATAGGGCTAGTCCTGTTTAGTTTCTGGTCAATGGTAATCCCTATGATGTTGGAAGCAAGAGACTCAACTACAATAATGGCACTGAATATCATGGATTAATGGTTAGATTCTCCCATGTTGGACTTAGTCATTGTCTGGAACTTGTATAGCATGAATGTGACTTGCCACTTATCAGCCCAAACCAATTCTGATGTTGTGATGAAGGGGAGGTCACTGATGAATGTAATGATAGTGATTGAGTTTAGGACACTTCCCTGAAGAACTCCTGCAGTCATGGGTCTGGGATGATTGATCTCCAACAGTCACAAAAATCTTCCTTTGTACTCGATATGATTCAGAGGAGCAGAGTTTTCCTCTATTCCCATTCACTCTAATTTTGCTGGGATTCCTTAATATCAAACTAGGTCTGCCTTATTGACAAGGATAGTTGCTCTCACTTCCCCTCTGGAGTTCTGCTCTTTTATTATGTTTGGACCAAGGCTGAAATGAGGTCAGGAGCTGAGTGGATCTGGTGGAACCTAAACTAAGTGTGACTGGTCAGGTTATTGTTCAATAAGTTTAACTTGATAACAGTATTAAAAACACCTTCACTCTGCCTTTGCATTGATGATTGATAGTTGACTAATGGGGCAGTAGTTGGCCATGTTGGATTTGTCTATTTTTTTATGCACAGGGCTTACTTGGGCAAAATCACTTAAATTCTTTGGTTTATGTCAGAAATGAGTTTGGATTAAATTTCCAACAATCCTTTACATCCTTTTTCATACGATCTTGCATAACGGAGGAAAGATTTTCCAAATGTAAATAAAAACACAAAAGAAAAATAGAAATTGGCTTTCTACCAAGCTTGATCACGTGTGGGTAACACAGTTCAACATTCTGACATCATCACATCATATGAAGCATTTTGGATTGGAGAATCTGTTCACATTAACTAAGGGTGAAATAGCAATGTTTTATTGAAATCCACTGTTTCATTCCCACTATGGGGTTAATTTCAAAGTACTGTGTTACCCACTGTATTAGAAAGCACTCACACAGTAATTACTGTCGCAGTAGCACAATTTAAAGTGTTTATTCCTGCTCAAAACCCGGTGAGTAACTTGGTGCATAAAAGCACAAGTGACCTATCAACTTTACCCTGTATTAGCAAAGTCTTGGAGTGGTCAAATATATCCTCAACTTGTAATAGTTCCAGCAATCATTCTTTAAACAAATTCAATGTCCTGGTCCAATAACTGCTTTGCATAGCAATTCACCATATATGTAACAATAACTGAAATATTGTTTTCAATGTAAACTTCAGTGATGCAAAACTTATCATTGTTTCAATATGAGCTGAAATGCTCCAGTTCTTACTGAACTTAAAATTCAAGGAACTTGAAACAAAGTTCTTGAGAGAGCTAACAGTCAAATGTGAATAAAAACTGCTCTAAATGTACAAATATAAATGTCCCCAACAGTAATCAAAGGAGACCTCCTTCTTAAGGGATGGCAGAGATCTGCTCTATTTCCTTGAAGTCAATGAGTTCTCACTGTAAGAACTTGAGGTCTTCTTTACACTGATTCTTCCACCAACACTTAAAAATAATCTAAGCTGCCTAATTAAAAAGGTCACCATCACCAAATGATAACTGCCAGAATGATCCTACCAGAATCATCACCAGGTGCCAAAAAATAATGGATTTCACTTGTGAAACTCATAAATTACACGCATAGAAAAGTTACGTAAAGCATTAAAATTGGGCAGAATGTTACAGTCCCTTGCAGGCAGGCTCACAGCCAGAGGGATGTAAAATTCAATGGCTTCTTTTCATGCCACCCACCTATCTGCCCACCTGCCTGCCTGCAATTAATGGCCACTTTAGAGTCACTACCCACCTGACTGTAATTATTTGCTGGTGGGAGGAGGTCAGCAACAGCTGGTAAGCCTGAGAGTTAAGACAGGCCTTCTTCACCAGTTAGAGACATCACCCCCACTTAGATATCTTGCCTTCTTGTCCATATTTTCCTTTCCCCTCCGTTTCCCTGCTAACCTGTGCATTCCAACCCCCTATTGCCTTTCTGTATCTCACCCTCCTTAATAGGAATTCCTTTCTTGAACCCACTGAACTCGTCCCCTATGTAGTTATCATTTGGTTCCAACTCATTGGGAATGGACCAGTTTTATTGTGACGTTTTCAGAGAAGGGATGGGAAAACTTGCCATTTGAACCATCGAATCCCTACAGTGCAGAAAGAGGCTATTCAGCTCATTGAGTCTGCACTGACCCTCCAAAGAGTATCCCACCCACACCCACAACCCCACGCTATCCTGTAACCCCACATCTATCATGGCTAATCCACCTAACTTGTAGAGCTCTGGACACTACAGGGCAATTTAGCATGGCCAATCCACCTAAGCTGCAAATCCTTGGACTGTGGGAGGAAACCGGAGCACCCAGTGAAAATCCATGCAGACAGGGGCAGAATGTGCAACCTCCACTCAGTAACCAAGGCTGGAATCAAACCCGGGTCCCTGGCACTATAAGGTAGCAGAGCTAACGACTGTAGAATCCTACTCGCTGCCTCTTATTTGCTCCATCTTTGATGTCACCCTTCTACTAGAAAACAACAAGTTCTAGCAATCAAAACAGTAACCACTATACTAAAAGGACAAAGTTAACTTGCCTTGCAACAACATTTATTGTACATAGCAATAATTATTTTCAAAATTATTTTGTGTTTTCTAATGATGTACAAGTTTATACGATAAGTTTGTTCTTTGAATTTTTTTTGCTTGGTGTAGGAAATTTCCCTTGCTTAAAAATGTAACCATCACTTATTCAGATCTTAAATCTGTTCTACCTGTTACACCAATAAGACAAAAAGTCCACTGCTCTGTCAGCTAGCTGAGTTTAGCAAATGGTTTATTCCACAGATTCCATGTACTTGTAGGTAACACCTGTACAAAAGAATTACATGATCAAAATGAGAAATACACCACATTTAGATTAACCTGACATCAGTCAATGAGCTTAATTGGTGCTTTCACAGCTGATGCATAGTATAATTACTGGCAACAGATACTTATGTTGGTAATTGGTAAACTCCATTTCCAATGGGTAACTGGTTCGATGTGCATATCAACACTGTTCCTGGAATCATTAGACATTGAAAACCACAGAAATGATCTGAATTCAGTTCCTAAAATTCATGAATTCTTTAAAACATTGTACTTACTATATCACACTATTCTTTAATATTTGTCTTAGGAGAAATCAAGAAAATTTTAATTCCTCAGAGTAGGTGTAAATGCATTGTAAATTGTTAAACAGAACAATACTGTCTTTCTAAGCATTAGATGGGATGGGATATTTAGTAGCTGTCAAAACCTAACTGCAAGACTTTAAAACATTTGGTTTGAGGCTACTATTAATTTTACTTTCCAGCGTACTTCCAAATAGTTAGCAGGACAAAAGCTATACAGTATAAGAAGAGAATAATCAAAAATGCTGTTTGGAAATATAGAGAAGTAAACTTTCATTTCCAATGTGTATATTTAGCAAACTGCTTGTATTAAAATAATTGATTTCTAATTCTGCAAAGCAAAACAAGAGCAGTCTCTTAATCATAATGAATGTGAATAGCGTGGCCTGCAAGGAGGAACAGCAAGCCTGAGAACAATGAGAAGAAAATCCCAATGGCTGCAACTATGAAGGACCATCCATATTGAATGTTTAGTGTAAAATCAGGACAGAGCTGAATTCTTTGCTTCTGAATGTATTCTTGAATATCAATCACAGTTTCGATCCAGATGACATACATAATAACAAGTACTGTAAATAAAATTCCTGGGAAGATAAAAAAGAAAAAAAAATCAAAACAACATTTTAAAACATCACCTATTTTCGGATGTTTTATTTTTAAGTAGTGTTTGCTATGAGTTCACCTTACCCTGCTAACAGCACTAGCTCAAACCAATTGATTGCTCTGCCTTCCTCTCCATCCAGGACAACTGAAGATTTTAATTAAAATTAATCACTGATGTTACACTCTAATCCAGACATAACTATTTTACTCCAGAACTAGACAGTGCAAGCAGTGTAAAATTATTTTTTGCACCAAATGCCTAATATTTTAAGGGAGAGACTGTGAGGGAATGGAGGAACATAGTAATCATGGGAGAGGGGTAAACTGCAAAATCCCAGAGATGCAAATCAAATGATAGGACCTCATTATTATTTCTTAGCTCAGTTCCTGTACCGTGATTAGCCAGGCTACCAGGTGGAATACCACCAATAGATGATGTGGCTAGCAATTATTACAATATATCCAATTAGTTATTTTTTTTATTCATTAATGGGACAAGGGCATCGCTGGCTAGGCAGCATTTATTGTCCATCCCTAATTGCCCAGAGGGCAGTTAAGAGTCAACCACATTGTCGTGGGTTTGGAGTCACATGTAGGCCAAACCAGGTAAGGATGGCAATTTTCTTCCCTAAAGGACATTCGTGAACCAGATGGTTTTTCTGACAATTGACAACAGATTCATGGTCATCATTAGATTCTTAATTCCAGATATTTATCGAATTCCACCATCTGCTGTGGCGGGATTTGAAGCTGGATCCCCAGAACATTACCTAGGTCTCTGGAATATCAGTCCAGCAATAATACCATTAGGCCATTGCCTCCCCAATAGGTAGACTAATTAGTAAAGTTAGGTCACATGGAATTCAGGGTGAGCCTGCCAATAGGATGCAAATTGGCTTAACAGAAGGAGACAGAGAGTGGTGGTGGAGGATTGCTTTTTGGACTGGAGGCCTGTCACCAGCAGTGTTCCACAAGAATCAGTTCTGGGTTTTTATGTGTTTGTCATTTATATAAATGATTTGGATCAGAATATACAAGGCATGATTAGTAAATTTGCGGACAACACCAAATTTGGTGGCATAGTAGACAGTGAAGAAAGTTTTCTATGATTATAAAGGGCTCTTGATCAAATGGGTCAAAGGGCTGAAAGTTGGCAGATGAAGTTCAATCTGGATAAATGCAAGGTATTGCATTTTGGTACAACAAACAAGGTTAGGGCTTATACAATTAATGGTAGGGCCCTTGGATAGTGTTGTAGAAAAGGGACCTAGAGGTTCAGGTGCATAATTCTTTGAAGTTTGTGTCACATATAGACAGGGTGGTTAAAAAGGCACCTGGTATGTTTGCCTTCATTGCTTAATTGTTTGAGTATAGGAGTTGGGATGTCACGTTGAGGTTGCACAGGACATTGGTGAGGCCTTGCTGAAATACTGTGTCCAGTTCTGGTCGCCCAGTTATAGGAAGGATATTATTAAGCTAAAGATGGTTCAGAAGAGATTTACCAGGATGTTGCCCGGTATGGAAGGTTTGAGTTATAAAGAAAGGCTGGATAGACTTGAACCTTTGTCACTGGAACATAGGAGGTTGAGAGGTGATCTTACAGAAGTTTATAAAATAATGAGGGGTATAGATAGAGTTAATGGTAGCTGTCTTTTCCCTAGGATGGTGTATTTCAAGTTTAGGGGACACATTTTTAAGGTCAGGGTAGAGAGAATTAAAAAAGACATGAGGGGCAATTTTTTTTACACTGAGCGTGGTTCGTGTGTGGAATAAACTTCCTGAGGAAGTGGTGGATGTCGATACAATTACAACGTTTAAAAGACATTTGGATAAGTACATGAATAAGAAAGGTTTGGAAGGATGTGGGCCAGGAGCAGGCAGGTGGGACCAGTTTAGTTTGGGATTACATTCAGCATTGACTGATTGGACCGAAGGGTCTGTTTCCACGCTGTATGACTCAATGAAAAGATCACGCTGGTCCAAAGTTGATATAGGTCCATATAAAGATCTGATAAACTTATGACTAAAAGCTTGATCGGACAGTTGATGTTAAGGAGCAACTCAAAGAAAGAAAGGGAGATAGAGCAGTGGAGATGATTACAAAGTGGACTTCCAGGACTTAATATATAGGCATGACCACCAATGGGGATCTGATGGAATTCAGGAATATGAAAGGCGTTGGAATTGCAGGAGCAGAGACAGCTTGGAAACTATTAGGATTGGAGGGGAGTTACAGATCCTGAAAGGAGTGGGATTTGAAAGCAATGAAGAACATTTTAAAATTGAGGTATTGCCACACCAGCACTTAATGTAGGTTGGCGAGTACAGGGCTGACAGACAAATGAGATGATGTAAGTTACAATATAGTTAGCAGTAATGCAGTGAGCTCAAATTTATCAAGGTTAGTAGGTGGCCAAGGGAGAATTGGAACATTGAAGAAGGAGGGATGTGAAATTAACAGCCATTTAACAATAACTGATCTTATGTACTATTACCCATAAAGTCTTTACATCAGTTTAGTTCAACAGTGTTTGATAAAAGAAAGGTTTAGGGTAGAATTTTGCCCATTAACTGTCAATTGAGAAATTCTTTGCAATATTATTTGCATGTGTAGTGAAGTATATGACCTGTAAAGGGCAATATTAAATCCTTTAAAAAAAATCACATTCATCAGAGATAGTAGGAACTGCAGATGCTGGAGAATCTGAGATAACAAGGTGTAGAGCTGGATGAACACAGCAGGCCAAGCAGCATCAGAGGAGCAGGAAGGCTGACGTTTCGGGCCTAGACCCTTCTTCAGAAATGCTCATCATTCATACACATTCATCAGCTCTTTGTCAAAGATGTGAATCAGTGGCCACTAGGGGGTATATGCCAACCACACTATCCTGGTCACGGGGGAGCAGTAAAAATGAAAAGTTACAAAACACGAGCTTAGACTACCACATATGATTCTCACACTATTTTTACAGCTGAAGGTTGCACAATACTCTGCGCTTTCAGAAATGGGACATTTCATTATGACATTGTTATTAGGCTCTCATAATCCAGTTGGGAGCCTGATTTAAGCTTAACAATTACTGCCTCTGTTTCTCAATATTCAGAAGCTGATAATTAAATGGAGTCAGGAGCAGCTAGCTGCAGAAGGAAAATGCTTTGATTTGATTACACTTTGCACTTTTTTTTTGCTTTGTGAGTTAGGAAGCCTGGGAGATCCTTCAGCAAATTTTCTGCCAATACAGGTTTCCTTTCACACTCACTCAATTGTCATTCCCACAGCAACTCAGCCTAGAAAGCCAAGACCACTGTCCTACATTCTCCTGACCACCCATCCTCTCAGCCAGAAATCCCAAGCCTCCTGTCAAACAATAAACTAACTCAGCTGTTAGAAATACTTGGAATAATTTTCTCTTGTCTATTCAAGCTTTGGCAAGTTCAGTCTTAAGAGATCTCAAATCGTAAAAACATGTAAGTTATGGCCAGTTTTCAATCTTAGCAAAGATGATTTGAGTGAGGTTTAGATGCCTCATCAGAGATATTAACATTTAGTTCTGTCACTCTCTATTCTTGTGTAGCTGTTGCTCAGTAGCCCTTCACTCTTCCCCTCCTAGAACATTTGGTCTAGTATTGTGTTTATAGAGCTGGTGTACAAACCCAATAGTAATGAGTTCAAATTTCACCATGACAAATTATGCAAATGCATTTACTAGCCATGTCAGCTCTGGTAGAAAGATTAACTATGAGAGCTGCTAGGACACTGTTAAATCAAACTAGTTAACTAATATTCTTTAAGGAATGGAAACCTATTCTATTCAACATTCATTCGCACACCAAGGACATAATTTAATCCTGCTCACAGGAATGGGTTCTGGAATTGTGAGGGAAAACAGGGGTGAATGCATATTGCCTTTTGGTGCTACGCAGTTAATGCATAGGTGAGAAGAGGGAAAATGGGATTTTGAGGACCTTAAGTCATTGATTAAGTGCCATTTAAGTTCTTTTGCACACTGCCACACTGCCAAAAGTGGGCCAACCCTCTGCCTTGTGGAAAGATCATGTAGTAAAAGCAGCTCTGCTCCCTGCAGGTTCGGGGGGGATGGTGGGTCGTCCTGTTTGATAGTTTCTGACCCATGGAAAGTTCTCCGTGTTGCAGGGGAGCCTCACTGACTGCTGCAGCAGGCCTGAAACAGAATGGTTGGCCAGGGAACTTCACTTCTGAAGTGGCAGGCAGCTGTGGACAGAACGTTGGTGTTCTGTAAAACAGTCACGTAGTCTGCATTTCATCTCCCAGTGAAGAGGACAGTATCAAAAACAGTCGACTAAATTGAGTGAAGTGCAGGAAATTGACTGGCTCATCTGGAAGGTAAGGCTGGAGCATTGGATAGTGAGGAGGGAGGAGGGAAATGGGCAAATGTCACACCTTCTGCGATTGCATGGGAAGGTGCTGTGGGGTATGGGGAGCTGTTAGAAATGGAGGGGGAGGAACATAGAACACAGAACAGTACAGCACAGTACAGGCCCTTTGGCCCATTATGTTGTGCCGACCTATTATCCTACTCTAAAATCAAACTACCCTGCATACCCGACATTTTACTATCATCCACGTGCCTATACAACAGTCGCTTAAATGTGCCTAATGTGTCTGACTCCCCTGCCACTGCCGGTAGCGCATTCCACGCGTCCACCACTCTCTGTGTAAAGAACCTACCTCAGACATCTCCCCTGTACCTTCCTCCAATCACCTTCAAATCATGCCCCTTTGTAATAGTCATTTCTGCCCTGGGAAAAGGTCTCTGACTATCCACTCTATCTATGCCTCTCATCATCTTGTAAACCTCTATCAAGTCACCTCTCATCCTTCTTCGCTCCAATGAGAAAAGCCCTGGCTCCCTCAACCTTTCTTCATAAAACCTGCCCTCCAGTCCAGGCAGCATCCTGGTAAATCTCCTCTGCACCCTCCCTAAAGCTTCCACATCCTTCC